CTCAACCCCAGCGGGGAGCTGAACCACCTCTCCGGCCACACGTTCGCGGCCCAGCAGCAAACTTTCCCCAACGTCCGGGAGATGTTCACCTCCCACCGGCTGGGCCTGGAGAACTCCGCCCTCGGGGAGCCCCAGGTGAGCGGCAGCGCGAGCTGTCAGCTGCCCTACAGGGCCTCGCCGTCGCTCTACCGCCACGCGGCCCCCTACTCCTACGACTGCACCAAGTACTGAGTCCCGCGCCTCCCCGCGCCGGCCCGCGCCGCTTCGCCTTCCGGACACTTAGGGCTGCAGAGGCGCAAAAGGAAACCAAACACGTCCCCCACCTTTTTCAGACCCGGAGCGGCGACAGCGCGGCGCGCCAGCCCTGCGAGAAAGCTGCAGGTAACTCTCACCCGCCGCCCGGTTCTGAGAGCCCAGAAAGCGCCTCTAACCGGGCGAATACTGATCGTAAAATTCCCCCCGGCACCGTGAGCGCCGGCGGCCGCGCTCGGCTCCGCTCGGGGTTTCACAACATTCAGTTCTGGAGCAAGTGCCAAAGCACCCAGTGATGACCTTCTGTAGAGACGCGCGTGAGTACGCGGGCCCCCACACCGCGTCCGCGCCGTGTGTGCCTTAGTTCTCTGACCGTGCTGTACGAATGTGTGGATTTCTGATCGGGCTATTTGTTGTTGTTGTTCAGAGCCGTTAATATAATATTTAAAGTTGAGTTCACTGGAGACGTTTTCATCCGGCCCAACCATTTCTAACCGCCACGCTGAAGGAGAGAAGCCTCCGTGGGTTTGCCCCCTCGGACAATTATGCAGTTCCATCCCCTTCCCAGCTGTAGGTCTTTTACAAAACAAAAAAAAATAATTTATTATTTTTGTTGCCAGCAGACAAAGAAGTCAAGTATCTGATACTTTCATTTACAAAGTGTGACAGTTTTCTATAGTCCAGTTCACCCTGAGCATTTCTGAAAGGAAAAAGAATATTTTAAAAATTCTAACTTCACCTGTGTTTGTCTTAACATGGTCTTAATTGTTGTACTTACCTTAAAATAAATCCGTGTTCTTTTTCTGCCCAAAGTTTGGACAGTGTGTTTGTGTTGTCACATTTTATTTTTAAAGAAAAACAAGGTATATTAGCAAACCAACCGGTTTGGATTATATTGTCATTTAGGTGGGTGTCCGTGTAGACAGCGGGTCACAGAAGAGTGGTACAGAGTGTGGGAAAGGCTTGATTTATTATTATTATTATTATTTTAAAAGCTCACCCTGGCCAAGACAATCCAACTCCCCGCAGGCTGGCTTGAAGGAGGGTGTGTGGGTCCTTTGCTGGGATGAATTCTGTTAAGTGCAGAAGGACATGCCCATGGTGGGAGCAAACAGCGCAGCTTCGTCTCATGTCCCAGTCGTCCCCAATTCAGGGGGCTGGGAAAACATCTCGCCTTTGCTAACTACAACAGAGGGAAATTCCACTCTCCCTCACATCCCAGCACTGTGGGCTTCCTCGCCCACTTCCACGGGCCTCCAGAAAAGACCAGGAACTGGGCTACTGCAGGTTCCAAGAGAACTCCATGGTGTTTCCCTCCGTCTGGCAGCAGAGATCCAACGCCCGTCCTTTGGGGTTTGATTTAGAAATCCTTTTCTGCTTCCCAGTCAAAAAGTTCCCAAAACTCAATGCCCCTCAGACGCGACTCAGAACGCTCTTTGGATTCTAAATGTCTCAACCTTTCGAGACTTTCAGTAACAGGGAGGCTGTTTTCCTTCTCTATTGTGATTTCTTTAAAAATTGGAAATAGCAAACCAGCCTTGGTGAACTGTGGGCTAGGGACGTGGCGGCACCGACTGAACCCCATGACTTCCTGCTGGCTTCTGAGTGTGGCCTCCTCTCCTCTCCCTACCCCAGCAGGTGAGCTATGGCCAAGGTGAAGCTGCTGGCGTACCGCACGTTTCAGGTGGCGATGATTATCCAAAATGTGATTTTGCTCAGTGTGGTGGCATGGCATGTAACTTGGGTGGTGGTGGTGGTGGTGGTGTTTTTAAACATGGCGTTTTTTCTTCATGCTTTGTGGAAATAGACTGGGGAGAAAGTTCGAGGCCAAAGCTGGAGGCATATCCCTGCCCCCCCACATGTGCAGTCTTTCAATGCTTGTTACCTAAAGAGGCAAATGGCCAGGACTTGCGAGTGAAGACAACTTCGGTTCCTTTTCATTGCTGGCTGCAGAGGGCAGCTGGGCCTGGCTTCCAGCGGGGGCCCGCAGGCCACACAAGCTTCAGCAGAGTGGGCGGATGAGGGAGCTAACGGAAGAGCCAGGGGACAGTGAGGAGGCCTCAAGCAGGTCGCTCACTCCTGCTGTCTTTAAGCTCCTTGCCACTGGAGTGGACATGCTAGATCCCGAGCAAACAGGCTTCCTCGTGCCTCAGATGTTCCAAAGATGGCTTCCTGACGACTTGCCCTCCTCCTACAAATGGACCCTCGGCCTGAGAGAGAAGAAAATAAAGAGAGCCCTGGGCTCGGGGTGGTCTGAGGCCTGCGCATCTTCTGACACCATGCTGGCTTCTGCACCTTTAGGAAGAAGCCCTAAGAAGTCCCGAGTCTGCAGCCGGCCAGCCAGAGCCGGCAGCTCGCGTCCTGCTTGGAGGCAGAAGAGGGGCCTTCCATTTGCCGGAAAGGGAACACGTTGAGCAGTCGTCTTTGCGGCTTGATTCAGGCATCTGCAGGCGGCGAGTGGAGAGCTGAGGCCCCGGGACTCCCAAAGGTGTCCTCAGTGGAAGCCAGGAGGCCCGGATGGTTGCGGGTGAGCCTGAGGCCAGACTTGTGCGCTGCGCTGTGAGCTCGGCTCAGCCCTGGGCGGTGCGGGGTGCCCCTGGAGATGTGTGAACCTCGGGCCTGGGGCCTAGGGGCCTGGGGGCATCTGGCTGCGCGCCCTTCGGGCAGTGTGGGAAGACCCGTAGCGCCAAGCTCCCAGCTGCGAGCAGTGACAGCGCCTGCCCGGCTTACCCTGGCCCTTTGTGGTGCCCCGTGCGCGTCTGCTGTCCTCGCTCTGGCTGGCGCCTTCCTCAGGCCCTCGGTTCTGGAGAGGCCCAGGGCCTTTGAGGGAAAGGGAAAAGGAAGCAGACGGCGGGGCCTCAGGCTGGCGGCCTGCGGGAATGCAGAGTGCAGAGAGCGGGCGGCAGTGTCTGATAGCCGCTCCCCTCCCCAAGAAGGAGATACGGCTCAGAGGACACGAGTGAAATGAAAGCGACTCAGACGCCGGCCCAGACAAACACCTTCTTTTTCCCTGGAGTTAACCCTGCGGCCCCGGGCTGGCCGTGCCTGGTGGACTAGGACTCTAACCAGAACCACTTGGAAGGTTGCAGCCCCCAGGGCTGACACCGTGGCCGGGGTTCCCAGGCCTGGAGAGGCTGCAGCCTGAACAGCATGTGCTCTCTGGCTTCTTGGAAGATGGAAGGTGCCCCCTACGGCCACCTCTGTGAACAGGAAGGACTTGATCCAGGCCTCTCTGCGAGAACCCGGCTGGGGTCTGTGTGGCCAGGCAGCCCCCGCTGCCCTGGATCAAGTGGCCCATTGGTGCAGACGCCAGACTCGCCTCCCCCGGCATCTCGGCGTGGAGCTAGAACCAGGAGGTTCCATCTGCTGACTGAGCAGGCCATGTCCCTCCTTGGCCTGCACCGTCTCATCGGCAGAATGACCGGGTCAGTGCAAGGACAGCCAGCACCTTTCCTTTTGCAAAGCAGGGCTCCCGCCGTGGGCCCTCCATCAGCCCACTGTCCTCTGCCTGGAGATCAGAAGTCACGGGGAGGAGAAAACGAGGGGCCTGGGAACTGGGGCGTTTGGCTCATAAATCTTGCGGGTACCATGTCCTCCCTGTCCTGGAGCCCGCCTGGGGGTCGCTGCACCAGCTGGGACAGGCTTGGGAGCAGTACTCCAAGCATGAACAGCGGTGTCCTCATTCCACACCCCACCCCCATATCCAGAGCAGGAGAAGGAAGGTTTGGGACAAGGTGGGCTGAGGGGAATTGATGGGCTGTCATCCACCTGAGTGGTCCCAGGTCCACTGAGAAAGATGCCCATTGGTTAATAGCCAGGACCAAATTTCTCAGGAAGGCTCAAGTCTGAGCCTGGGTCTGGTGGCTTGGGGGGAATGTTCGCTAGTGTTACCCCCTTGCCCCGGGCAAACCTCCTGTCCTTTCTTGGGATAGGATGGGTGTGGCTACATGGAGATCTGAGGTGTGCATGGCTGGGATCCTGGGGTGCTAGGATCCTGTCCCTCAGTTCCAGGTGAATAGGACTCTGCTGGATGGGAGCCCCAGGCCTGCCCCCCCCCCAGTCCCTTGTTGTATCACATACTTGAAATGCTTTCCCAGACTTCCAGAAGCATCCCTGCCTGCCTCCTTCTTGCGTGGCCTCTGCTCGTCAGGGCGTCTGAAATGTTTGCTTTTTAACATAGGCATGTAAGGAAGGGGGTGGAGGGCTTCAGGGCGCTGGAAGGCCAGCAGCCACGGTGCGGAGCAGCCTGCTTTGTGGGGAGACGCTACTCACCTTTCACTTCTGCGAGCCTGTACGGTGCCTTTTCTGTCAGCCGAGGGCAGGAGGATGTATCTTGCTAGACTTTGAGTCTCTGCCTCTCAACGGCAGTGCTCTGGTTTCTCCCAGGTCAGGCTTGTGGGGGGCTACTCCTGGGGCCCTATGTAAGTGAATGGCTGGATGACAAGGGTGCTGGTATGCAAGGTTCTTTGAAGGGAATGAAGTTGGAGACCATGGGGAAGGGGTGTCTGTCCCTCACTCTGCTGAGGTGTGGCTTTGTGCTTGAAACCCTCAGACTGTGCCCACTGGGCTGGGAGATGGGGGGGCACTAAAAAGGCCTCTGTGACCCCAGGTCTGGGAGCGCTGGTGGCATAGTACCTAAGGCACTTGACTGCTAAGCAGAAGGCTGGCAGTTCAAACCCACCAGCCACTCCTAGGAAGGAAGGTTGGGCAATCTACTTTCGTAGAGATACGGCCTCGGAAACCCAAGGAGGGGCGGCTATGAGTCAGTCCGACTCAAGGGCACATAACAACAATGACAACGACCCCAGGTCTTGGGTCACCATCCCCGGCTGCCTCCAGGCTTTAGCGCTCACTTGGCCTTGAGTGGAATCCACAGGAACCAACTGGGCCCTTACCAGCAGGGTTCAGGGGACATCACCCGAGTGCCCCCAGGGCTAGCTTCGCACCAGAAGAGCAGCAGGCGCATGAGCAGGTGATTGGGCTCCTGGACCTAATTCCCGAGGAGAAGCTGCCAGGAGCGCCTGCCCACAGTGAGGACTCCCTGTGCCGCCTGCTGGGATCTGTCTGGGTAACTGAGGAGAAAGGACTCATCTCGCCTCAGCCCTCAGCCGCTCAGTTGCTTGGGGGAGGGGAGGGCATGGCCCAAATGCCCCTGCTTAGACCCTTTAAGTCGTTCCTGGGAACAAGGTGTGCTGTATGTAGGACGGTCATTTGGAAGATCCTGCCTAGCTCTCTGGGCTTCCCTGAAGCATTAGCTGACTCCAAGGACCCTCAGTGTCCAGACCCTAGGCTGGCACCCCAGCTGATAAGCAGCAGCAGAGACCCCACCCTGCTCATTTAGGGCGGACAGGGAAGAGAGGTTCTGGGTCTGTGTGGGATCCTGAGTGAGGATGGTGGGGCCTTCTACTTACAAAGTACCCCCAGTCTCTAAGCTCTGGGTCTGCCAAGTAGCCACTTCTCTCTGGGGAGCCTCCCCACCCACCGCAGACCAACCTCTGGCCTCCTTTCTCTGTCTCTGTCTCCCTCTCTGTGTCTCTATCCATCTCTCTCTGCCCCTTTGGGTGACTGAGTGTGTCAGAATGTGGAGGAACCCCTTTGAGGGACAATGTGGGTCCCCATCCCTGCGGTTTACTGCTTCTGTGATCTTACGGTCTGTGTTAAACCTCAAGTTTCCTCATTTGTGAAATGGATTCAAGGCCCCTGCCTCCCGTATTTGCTGTGATGGTTAGCAAGAATTTCCCCAGGGCCTGCAGCGGTGCGTATTGTAATAGGGCATCTCCCCATGTGGACCTGAGACAGGTCAGTTTCCAGGCCTGGGTCTCCGGGACCGCAGGATGGGAAGGTAAAGGCCTCGGGTCCCAGGGCTGCCGTGGGACCATGGGCTTGGTGGTGCCGGCACTTAGCAGCCCTCAGCTGTACCTAGTCACGAATCTTCCTGTTGGTGTCCTCATGTTGAGGACATTCAGGTGGCTGTGTCTCCCCATGCTCACGTCCCACTGCACTGCCCTCCGTCAGCAGCCTGTGTGCCCTAGAATGTAACTTGGTACCTGATTTTCACACCTGGAAGACAGATGCAGATATTTGGAGAGATGACAGGTCATGGCTAGCTTTGGCGCCGACATTTTTATTCTCCACCAGAGCTGGGGAGGAATGCACACCGTTGGCGCATCTTTGGAGGGAGGCGGGGAGGGGAAGGGGCTCCTCTAGTCGCTCGGTGCCTGGGTTCCGCCTCTCTTCCCCTGGAGCTCCGAGTCGTCCGGGGGCTGGAAATGGGGCGTATGTCCGGATTTCACTTTGATCTCGGTTTCTGCTCCGGCCCCAGGGCCGCAGAGGCCGCGGGGCTTCACTGAGTGCAGGGCAATGCGCTCCCACCCACTGACTCCGGAGGCCAAGGTGCTTCCGTGGGAACCTGCCCATCACTTTCAGGGCGTCCCCATTTGGCCCTCTGTCTCCCCGGCTCGGTTGCCGTCCACCTGACCTCTGGACCACGTCTCCCAACAGAGCTTCCGCACGAGGGCGCACCCGCGCTCGGACGCAGGGGCTATGCCACGCGCTCCCCGGAAAATCTGCCCTAGCGCGCGGCTCCTTCCTCTAGCGGCCCTTTCCTAGGTCCAGCGTATAGACTCTTCCCCTGGGAGCCCGGGAGACTCGCCGCTCCGGAGCCGAGCGGGCAGGGGCGCGCCGCGGGAGCCGCACGGCTGGAACCTCCCGAGAAGCAGAAAACGCCTGCCAACGCGCTGGGCCGGGCAGGCCTCTCCAAACCGCGGCTAGAACGCGGATATTTTCCTTCTTTACGGTCCGCGCCCGGCCCCGCCCTCCTGCCGCCGCCCCAGTCCCCGCCTGCGTCCGGCCCCTGCCCAAACCCGGCGGTGTTTATTAGCGCACGAAGCCAAGCTCGGATTTGCTTTGGAGCTGAGAAGACTCGCTGGGATGGCGCGCGGTCGGCGGAGGCCGGGCTGGGTTGCGCTGAGGGCGCCCAGCAAGATCCAGCAGGGGCTGGGGGGTGCGGAGCGGGGCTGCGTGGGTGCAGAGTGGTAGCCGCCTGTGTCGCGGCTTGTGTAGGTTAGAGCGGGCAGAGCTGAGCCGCACGTGGGCTGGCGGGGGCGCGCTGATCTGGGCAGGCTGGGTGGCATCGGGGCGCTGTGGAACTCGCGGGGTGCAAAGATGCGGTCATCGTGGGTCTCTTCACCCTAGGGTTGAAAAGGGCCATTCGGAAAGAGCACGGCTCCGGACACAGAGGACAGCGCCCCGCCCTTCCTGGCTAGAGGGCCCCCGCGCGCACCTAGGCCGCTCGGGCCGGCTCGCCCTCAATTAGAGTCGCGGCACGGGCGGAGGGAGCCTACGGGTGTCCCAGGGCCTGGCCTGCCATTGCCGCTGACGGAGCTTGCACCCAAACCGGTTTTTCCGACCCTGACTGCGACTTCCTTTTTTGTATTTAAAACTTACTGGTTACCTACGTTCTATTTAATCTACCGGCCAGGTATCCGGAAACCCCCAGTCAGCACGTGGAGTATTTTCCGGCCTGTTCGTCGGGGAGTGGGGTTCTCCCCGGTTTTTCTTGGAGCTCACCGCCACACTCTAGTGTGGTGCCGCCTTCCCAAGACAGTGGCTGAGACCTCCCTCCCCGCAGTCTCTGCGCACTGGTCCCCTTGCTCCTGCGACTGAGGCGGACCAGGCCGGCGGCTCTCCGCTCACCTGGTCCTCGCCCACTCCCGCCTCTTTGGCCTCCCCTCTGGATTTAGTCCATGAGACGGAATTCAGTGACCCTGAAAGGGTTTTTTTTTCTCTCTTAAAAAATATTGAACGCACCATAAACAGGAAATAGTCACACTGCATGCCCCTACTCCCACCCTGTCACTGCGCTGAAGTGGGGGAAGAGACCCCTCCTTGTCAACCAGCATCCTTAGGATTTTTGTGTTCAAACTCTGACGTGGCTAAACGCAAAACGGGGGAGGGGTTGCTTACACCCCAGGGTGGGTGGGTGCGGGGAGAGGCAGGCAGACTTCCCAATGCTAAATGTAATCAAGGGCCAGCTGCGTGCACTTGTAAAGTTGTTATAACCCCCTCCTAGTTATAAACAGGAAAGCACACAATATAAAGCAACAGACCCACATTCACAAACCCCAGCTCTGCTGCCTCGCCAGCCAGATTCCCCTTTTATGGTGTGCCTCGCTTGCGACCTCCGCAGGACCAGAGGCCTTAGTCTCCCCCCGCCCCCAGCATCCAAATAGGTTCATTGGTGAGGTACCCTCCACCGTTGCCAGCTTCTCAGTGCCTTATGCTGGGCTTTGAGGAAACTGGGGCCAGGAATAAGCTTGTGCCCCAAGGGTCCTGGAGGCCCCAGCGCTCCCTGGGAATCCTGGGCTGCCAGAGTGGGCTCCCCCATGCGGGGCCTGGTGGTCGTCTTTCTGGAGGCCTGGGTCCCTTTCTCCTCAGACACTCCAGCCTCCTGGATGGACGTACCTCCTCCCTCCTCCTCGACCTCCCAATGTCTCTGAAAGCTTGCAAGGGTCCTAGAAGACACTGTAGGACACGGTGCAATCTCAGCATCTCCCAATAAGCCCGTGAGAAGAAAAGGCCTTTTGTGGGAGGCCGGCTGGGGCTCCCCAGGCCCTCAGGAGAGCCCACTCCTGGCGCCCTCCCCATCTCCACCTCTCCGACCCAGCCACCGGTGCACATCCTGCCTCCTCTGTGTGCTTGCAGCGTCAAGGGTGGACGTGGTATTTCAAACATCGGATCACTGCGTTTATATATTGGGTGCCCGGAAATTTTTCCAAATAAACACAGCTTGATTCAACTTGGGTGGGCGGACTTATCAACAGACTAATTCTATAAACAAATGAAGGAATAGCCCCGAAACCGATTGGCTGGTATCAAAAAGACACGTGGAAGGAAAAGCTTGGAGTTTTTCAGCAATGAAATTTTAATTAATGTGGGTGGGCTGAGAACACAACGACTGTTTATCATAGACAATTTATTTTCCAGCGCTAAGTCAACATATAATAGCAAACTTACAACAATTACTTAACATTTCTAAGGCCATGAAGGAGAGCCAGAGCGCAGCGCGGCCCGGGAGCACTGCGCAACGGGAGGCAGCCGCGCAGCAGGCTCCCAGGGAAGGCTCCGGTGGCGCGGGCCGCCGTCCCTGAGCCTCCGGAGCGCAGCGCCCGCTCTGTGCGCCATGAGCCACCTCTTCTGCCCGCGGCTGCCGGCCCTGGCCGCCTCGCCGCTGCTGTACTTGTACGGCCCGGAGCGGCCCGGGCTGCCGCTGCCCTTCGCCCCCGCGGCCGCGCTGGGCGCCTCGGGTCGGGCTGAGCCCCCTCAGAAGCCGCCCTACAGCTACATCGCGCTCATCGCCATGGCCATCCAGGACGCGCCCGAGCGGCGGGTCACGCTAAACGGCATCTACCAGTTCATCATGGACCGCTTCCCCTTCTACCACGACAACCGGCAGGGCTGGCAGAACAGCATCCGCCACAACCTCTCGCTCAACGAGTGCTTCGTCAAGGTGCCGCGCGAGAAGGGGCGGCCGGGCAAGGGCAGCTACTGGACGCTCGACCCGCGCTGCCTGGACATGTTCGAGAACGGCAACTACCGGCGCCGCAAAAGGAAGCCCAAGCCCGGCATCGCGGCGCCCGAGGCCAAGAGGGCCCGCGCCGAGACGCAGCACGAGACGGCGGGCGGGGGAGCGCTCCCAGGCCCCGCGACGCCCCGCCTCGTGGAGGGCGCGCCGACGCGCCCCTCGCCCGCCCCGGATGAGCCCTTTCGGCCGGTGCCCGTGCCCTGGCCGGGTCCTGGGTCCCCGGGCCAGGATGTGCACGACGCTGCCCAGGGCGCAGCGGCCGTGGTCGTCGGCCAGCCTGGGCACACGGCGGAGAGCCCCCGGTGCCCCGGGCGCCCCGCCTCCCGCAGGTCTCTGAAAGGCGCCGACAGGGCCAAGAGCTTCAGCATAGACAGCATCCTGGCGGGGAGGCCGAGTCCGAAGCCCGCAGAGAGGGTCGAGCTCCCGGGGGGCGCCAAGCCAGGCCTCGGAGGCGGGGCAGGCGCTTCGCTGCTAGCCAGCTCCGCCGGCCTCCGCCCGCCGTTCAACGCCTCCCTGATGCTCGATCCGCACGTGCAGGGCGGCTTTTACCAGCTCGGGATCCCCGTCCTCTCCTGTTTCCCCCTGCAGCTCTCCGACGCAGCGTTCCACTTCCTGTAAAGACAGCGGTGGCGCGGCCAAGCCCCCTCCGCCACCGGCCACCCGGGAGGGAAGGAGTCGTGATCGTTTTTTACAAACTGCGGTTTCCTCTGCGGACTCGGGCATTCTGGGAAGTGAGTGCAAGCTCTGCGGGCAGGGGGACCCGACCCCCCGGAGGTAGTGGCCTGGGAGCTTTGACAGACAGCCCTCCAGCAGGCAGTGCCTCTGCCTCAGGCCCATGGATGGCGTCCCTTCCACCACCCGCCACTGGCGTGCCCAGACAGCCCAAGGCTGGGACAGACTGACACAGTGTGGTCCTTCCCATGAGAACAGCACCATTGTCATCGCCAGCTCCACTCCAGTGTGTGGACCTGGCTTGGCTTGGAGCTGGTCTGGGTGGTGGCTGTTCTCAGCTGGGTGTGTCCCTGGGGTCCAGATGTGGGGGCACAGGCTTACCCCTGTGTTTCTGGTTCTTCCAAGATCTCCGGCCTGACAAAGTCCCCTGTCAAGGGGGACACCGAGACCCCCACCTCAAGGAGCAGTGGCAGCAGTTTTATTCAGAGAAAAGTTTTCTATTTCTTTCCAGACTGCAGAAGGCATGCACTTTGTTCCCTGCCTAATCCCTTGATTCTTCCTGCCTAACCCTCCATTCTTGCTGTAATCATCCCGTTAAAGACTTCTAAGGAAGTGCTGTGGGCACCCTGTGGTAGCCAACCGGTCATCACACACCTTCTGTAACTGTCGTAGCCGCCAACAGCAGCCATCCAGTCTTTTTTCACTTTTGTTTTTAAGGGATCAAAAGATTTCAAGGGTCTCCAGAAGGGTGTGAGGGGGCGGGGAGATGCCACGAGAGCTTCGGATTTTTGATTTCCATGTTTCTTCAAGACCTACCTTTGGTTTCTGTTACATTTTCCAGAATTGCGTAGTTAAGGACTACTTTTAATCAAACATGTTCCGAGAAACAAACAAACAGAAAGCAGACGGAGAGAGGTCTGGGTCAGTGCGGGGGCCCGGCATCTGCTGGTGTCAGCTGCAGGGGCCCCCCAAGACCCCACAGAATGGGGGCTTGAGGAGAGGGCCCTTGCAGACACCCTCAGCCCAGCCCTCCACAGGGCTCCTCCCTCCAAGCCTCACCAGCCTGGAGCCTGCAAGTGAATAAAGCCCTCAGCTAGGTGAGGTCTGGGGGAGGAGGCTGAAGGGCAGGGCTGGATGGCCAGGATCCGGTCCAGAAAACTGAGATTTCCACAGCCCTGCTCAGCTGGAAAGTTTTTGGAAAGGCACCCACCTTTTATGGAGCCTGTATTTGGGCTCCTGGGGGTGAGGTGGGGTTTGAGACATGTCTTTCGACCCCTCTGAAGAGTTTCTGATTTCTCTGGTGTGGACAAGGTGCAGAACGTCATGAATTCTTGGTGGTAGAGTGAGGAGTCCTGACAGCGGCTTTCAGAGTGGCTTCCAAGGCAGGTACAGACAGCCAGCATAGGCTCAAAGCAAGAGGGCCTGTCGGGCAGCAGCACGACTGTGACCTGAGAGGTTGCTCCTCACTCAGGTGCCACGGGAGAAAGGCCTGGCTGGCTGCTTTCCCAAAGATCACAGCCTTGCAAACCCTATGGAGCAGTTCTGCTCTCACGCACGTTGGGTGCCATGAGTCAGCATCCGTCAGGCTGGTTTGCTTTTGGTTGGTGACTGTGTCCGAGAGGCTATTTCAGGCAAGTGTAATAATTGAATGACTAATGAACAGAGTTGACCTTCTGCAGGCTGTTTCCCAGACCCAGAGACACGGCCATGTCCAGCTGCGACCCAGTCGGTGGGCAGGTGCTGGGCAGCTGCAGGAGGTCCTTGTTTTAGGGATTGGATGGAGGAGGCACCCTTGCTGAGATCCCGGCTCACTGGACTGAACTGAAATCGGGGTGGGAGGCTGTCATTGGACACTTGGTTATCCCAGACTCTCAGCGTCTGTGAATAAAGTTGTGTTTTCATTAACCTCTCCCTGACTCGTTCACTGGATCACCGGGGACGTAAACAAACTGTGTCATAGGAAAGGGGAAACTGGGATTATACTTGGGAACCGTGTCAGCGTCTCTGAGGCCCAGGCCTCCGAGAGGGGTGGGTCCCCGGATCGGAGGTGAAGGGACCCACTGCAGAAAGGCCCATGGACGTTGCCTCAGTGGCAGGAGGCACACTGGGTACTGTGTGGCCGTGCAGCCGCTTCCGTGCCCTGTTGGGTTTCTTTGCTGCCTTGTCGCTTTCGTTCATTGCTGATGGCTATTTCTGCAGCAGATGATTCAATACTGCTATTTACAAGGATGGTGTTGTAGGGCCGCGGCCTAGGAAAGTCCAGTGTAGACTTGATTTTGTTATTTTTAATGGCACAGAGTGCAGGCGTGTCCATCTGCTTGGTTAAGTGTGCTTATGCGCGCTCAAGGAGACATGCTGGTTTCCAAGCCCCGTTTCATCTGGTCTGGGGCTTGGAGGTCATTTCCATGGACTGAAACCATTCCACAGTGGGCATTACTCTTGAAGGAAGAGAGAGACTTTGGGTCTTAGTAACCCAAATCACTTTTCTCATGATTCTAAAAGGGACTTATTGGCTCGAAATCATGGGTCAACAACATCAAGAATTGGTCCCAACCCTCAATTAAAACAAAAAGTCAGCTATACTCAGAGTTAACCAGAAACACCCATTTGGTTCCACTTTTACACAGTCTGAAGGTCTGTCTCTTTTTTCTCATCCAAAGGGGATTGATTCAGGTTTCTGGAAATTCTCTTTGCTTCAAGTCCTGATTACACAACACACCTGTACGTATGAAAAACATATGAACATACACACATGCACATGATATACACACACACATACACAGGCGCACACACAACACACACACATGTGCACACACATGCCGTGCACACATACAAACACATGCGCGCACACACATGAACATACACACACAATACACAATACATACGCACGTGCACATGCACGCAAATGTGTACACACAAGCATGCACACACATATACACATATGCACATACACACATGCACACACACACATGTGCACACGTACACAGTGCACATACACACTACACATGCACATACACACATGTGCACATACACCCACAAAACATGCATACGCACGTGCACACACAGATGCACACACATATACACACGTGCATACACATGAGGTCTGAGTATGTGATGGTAATGAGGAACATGGCAGGTGCAAGTATGACAATCTATGTTGTGCATGTATGTATGTGATCGATATGCTAGTGTTCTGTGGACATGAGTGTGCAGACATCTGCCTTTCATTGCACATAGGTGGGACAGATGGGCTCAGGTCAACTGCTGAGTTATTTCAACTTCACCCAAGTGGGGACATCGTGTGAAAGGTGTCTGTTGTCCTTATGGTGCTAGACAATGAACACTGATCCTTTGTGTTGTTACAGTCAAATGAGCAAAGAATTTCAAAAGATCTTAGAAGGCATACCAACATGGGGAACCTGGCCTCCACGACTTTGATAAGGACAGAAAATTCTGAAAGGGCAGTCTGGCTTTGTTGGGGTTTGCTGAGTGCTGGCTCTTGGGGAGCTCATGGCCTCCTGGGTCTCGAATGCCCCCCATGACTTTTGAGAACTGGAGCAGCCCGTATTTAGCCATTTTCAAGGAATTGTGCCCACCTGGAAGGGTCCGCACGTGTGGTGCCGACCACTTCACAGAGTGGCTGGTGTGTGGGGTAAAGAACCAGCACCTGTGGGTGACGGTCCCAGCTTGAAAGCCACGGCATCTGCCCAGACAGTAGCAGTCCAATGCTTATCTCGCTCATGTGGGTGACACTCCCGGTGACCAGTTGCTCTTCCAGGTGGAGGCCAGGGCTGTCTGCACAGCCCAACTTCGGGTGGCTGGCAGCTGGCCTTCATGAAGGTGGGGAATATGGTACAATCAGATTCTTGTTTGTAACACAGGCAGTAACAGACAAAGTGCAACATTAAAAATAGTGTGAGTGTTTGGAAAAGGAAACAAAACAATTTGATCTACATTTAAATCAGTTTAAAAATTTGCTCCAAGAGCCAAACGGTCAGTTCTCTGATAAGCCAAATGGTCTGCATGTCCTTATCCAGAGCCCAACTCTGGTCTAGGCTCAGATAGACATCATGAATGTGTGTATCAGCCTGGAGAGAGGCCACAGGCAGTGGCCAGGCCTGGGTGGACCTATGGGAGGCTGTCTCTTCCAGTGGTATCCAAACGCCAATTGTGCTGGCCAGAGCAATTGCATGGCTCAAAGGCCAGATGAGGAGTCAAGCCTAGGGTCTACACCAGGCTGTGCAAGTGGGACCGAGTGCAAATTCAGCAGCAAGAGAGGAGCAAGGGGCCTGTCATAAGCCCTGAGAGTTCCATAGTCAACTAGTCAACCAAGGATATCTCTGTGGACCCTGACAGTGGGAATGGAGGACAAGGAAGGGCCTTGGGGCAAAGACTGCATCACGGCTCCCTTTTCTATCCTATACGAGAATCTGTCGGGTTTCTGGCCAGCCCTGCAAACCCACTTGGGTGGATAGATGGCTCTGTCCACAGAGATGGTTCAGAGTCCCATAGCTGAAGTCAAAGATCAATGGAGAAGTGATGGTAGGGAGCAGCAGCCAGGTTGAAGGGAGCCCTGGTAGTGCAGTGACTAACTGCTCAGCTGCTAACCCTCTAGCTGCTTCTTGGGAGAAAGATGTGGTGGTTGTTTGTGTCTGTAAAGGTTACAGCCTTGGGAAGGGAGGACGCTGGGAGCAGCACAAGCATTAGAGGGGACAAAGGTGAATACTCTCACACACACACTCCTGCAACAACAGCCCCAACAGTACTCTGCGAGTGGACGCATGGACAGATATGCAAGGCAAACAGGAGTGGGAGGGAGACTGGGACGCACCCATGACATATGGCTTTGACACGAAGACCCCTCCTTGGGTTTCCGAGGCAGTATCTCTACAGAAATAGATTGCCCGATCTGCCTTCTGAGGAGTGGCTGGTGGGTTTGAACCACC